ATATATATGTATATATATTTAATAGATAAGTAAAGTTTATGTATATAACTTCCTCATGTACATATCTGATAACTAACTAATGCAAAAGTTACAGATATGTTCCTCAAAGCAATATTTATGAGGGGAAACTGTAGAAGCTGCCTTATTCTCAGCCATAAGAGAATTGATTCAATACTGTACAATGTTCCTAGACAAAATATATATGTAGTTCCTTAGAAACAATGATTAGGGAAAGCACTTAACAACACAGCAAATTAATTACATAATGTTAAAAGAGATACAAATGTGCATATAGAGTCTGAGTATATACAGAATATAGAATAACCTGTGGATTGAAAAAGAAAACTGGGAAGAATATACTAAAATAATGACTGTGTTGCTTTGTGGTAGCAGAATTCTTTCAACATAGAATTCTGTAATGAAGTCTAAGATGGAAAGAGCTCAGGTCATTCATTGGGTTCTAAGTCCCAACCAATGTAGACACCTTCCCAGCTTAGCCACCCACCTGAACTCGCCCTCTGATGTGGCTGTTTGTTTCACTGTTGAACGACTTTCAACTATTACAAAGCTATTCCTGTTACTGAAATGAAATCTCTTTTCTGGATATTCTTCTCCCCAAGGATGCTAATTCTGCCCTCTGCTGCAATGCCTTTTTTGAAGACAGGTTAATGTTTTCTTAGCTGTGTCCTCCAAATGGACATTTTCCTGGACACTGGAAGAGGCGTGTCCACTCTGGCAGAGCCCAGACCCTCCTTTTATGATCCACGCTGAGCCTCCAAATAGAGAACAAACTCCTGTTTTTTATTTTGGGCCGTGTTCCTCAAACATTCCAAATTCTGCCATGGTTGCTTTAGTCTTTTGTTTATGGCTAATGTTTCTATTAAAATACAATGTCCCCTCCCGTCTACCCCAAGCTGCAGCAAAACTAGAGTCTCCATTTATCTTCATCACTCACAAATTAGTCTGAATAGGTTTCAACCTGTTTGATACCAGGTTCTGATGGGAATAGAATGAAAGCACCTGAAGGGTGTGATGGGGAAGAGGGTCCAAGAGAAGGGCACAGAGTGGTGAGAATGGGGAGCCATGGATGACCTACTTTACAGTTTGTGGAGGGTTGACAGCTGGCAGCCTCCGTTAGCTCTTGCCAAGACCTTGGATTATTCCAGTCACAGCTAAGCACATTTTTTTTTTTTTTGGTGTATTCTGCAGGATTCAAGATTTTGTACTCTTTGAATTTTTATGTTTTCGTTTAGAGACCATAGAAAATACACATTCTAATACTCACCTTGACATTTTCTGGGACAGTCAGGTTAATATCAATTCAATTGATAAGTATTCTGAGTCCACAAGGATATTTTCCCTGGTACTAATGCCTTTGTATTTCTCCTTGCACACTGTCCCTGTCGCTCCGATTTTTCTTAGCTTCACTAAGTAGGAAGTACATGCTAGAGAACATTTTCTTTAGGCAAAAAACAGTAACAGACACATCTTAAGAGAAAGTCAGGGTACAATGTCTTACAGTTTCCATAAATGGACATCCTTGCAAGACCTTGCACAAAGTAGCAATGCCATTCTGATCAGCAGAATCCCGTTTCCCAGTGTCTTACATGTGGACAGTGGAAAGGTTCAGTTGCTCAGGACTGAATACCCATACACTGCATGATCACCATGTGGGATTCAGGTAGCAAGATGGGCAGTCAGTGCTATAGGAAGGCATCATGTCAAAGTTTGGGGTAGATTTGCAGTTTTTCCTCAAGTACATGTAAAGTTGCAATATCCACTTTCCAGTAATTTCCTTAACTTTCAACCTTCTTAAGTTTTAGTAGTAAACTGAGCTGTAATTCCCAATAGGAAGCTTTGAATCTCCAAAGATGCATAGGAGAATGTCTCCCAGTCTTGCTTATTGAGCAGGTGTTAGGTGATTGATGGGATCACGTCTATGGGAATTTTTAAGAAACTGATTCTCATGCCTTGCCCTGGTGGACGCTTCCTGCGTAGTTGGCGGTTGTCACCCACATCTGTTGTGAACTGGCCCAAAGCCAACAAATTTTGTTCTCTTAATTGGAAAGGAACTCAAATTTAGGGGTACAGGGAACCACAGGATGTGGACAATCTGAGTCTTGGGTGCCGCATAAGGAAGATGCATCTGTTGGATTAAGCAGGTGGTGAGACAACTGAGTCAGCAGCAGACACAAGCAAATTCCCAGCACCCGGGTCCCATATGTCCCATCACTTTTCACCTCCCTCTTAAAACATGGACTTTTCAGGCTTATTAGCCAATATGAATAGTCAGGTCAGACAACTGGATCAGTGTGATGGCATAAACAGCGCTGAACAAGAAGATCCTGCCTCCAGATAAGATGGAGACTGGATGGTTTGGGGTATGGAAGCCAAAAGCTATGGCAGGCTCATCCTAAGCCCTTCTGTCAAGAAATCTATTCGGAGAGAAAGTCACTGTAGATAGACAGTTTTTCTCTTGTTGTTGTATTTTTTTAATCTATTAAAATAGAGGTTAATAAATTCTGGTGCAACTGTCTCCCCTCCAGACAATCAATCTGCACTAATACTTGAGTCAAACAGTATGCAGGATAGAATCTCAATTTTCATCATCGAATTCTCTATGTGCAGAAGCAATCTGGGAACTGGGAGAAATAAATCCAGATGGGAATATGAGGTGATCAGAGACTTGCTTTATACATAACCCTTGGAGTCTTTCATTAGAGAGAGGGGGAGATTTGACTTGGGAGTCAGCATCACTTATTTTACCTTATTTTACCTCCAGACTAACACAAGACCATGCTGACTTGCTCCAGGTTATTTCTGAGTAGAATAGGGCTGCCATGAATAAATACATTGTAGAATGTGGCATGTTATTAGGGAAAGAAAAGCAGACTGGAGAGCTTCTTTCTCCCAATGAAGGCGTGCAATCTGCACAGCTCCCTTTATAGTCCACCCTCTCCCCAGGGCATAAGTGCTTCATTTATCCCTGTGAATCTAAGTTTCAGTTCTGAGACTTTATAGTAGTGATATGCAGCTAACCCAAACTTTTCTAATGACAAAATACAGAGATGAAGTAACTTGATCTGTATTTAGGTAGAAACTTCCAAGTCTTTCTGAGTCATTCAACTTTAAGATTCAAAATGACAGTGAAGTTGAGGCTCAGTCCCCAAACGCAGCTCTGGGGATAGATCGCTGAGAAAAATGCCCTCCTATGGCGCAAGGTGGTGCTAACTTTCAGGCCTGCATGGGTTAGGGAGGGGAGAAGGATAAGACAGAGAAGCAAAACACAGGAAGAGGAAATACATTACTTCCTTATTGAGATGCAGGTAATCCTGGAACTATCTTTGTTGGAGGGCATAATGCTCTGGGTGATGAAGGTTGAGAGGAAGTGAGTTAGTAGAGTGTGAGTAGATTTTAAAGAAGAAAGTCTGATTTTATAAAGTGGAGATCCATGGATCTAGATTAGAGAAAGATATTTGGAAATAAATGCTGCTGATGACTCTAAGTGAGTGACTGCGTATGGGACAATAATGGCAAGAGCGCTTTTCGCTGATGTGGAACTGTTAGGGGGAAAGGATGTCCTGAGATAATCTCATACAGGCTTTGTGGACTCCACCCCCACTCCAGACTAAAGCCATCAGGACATTGGGAAAGACAAATCCCATCACCACCAAGGGGAGGGTGGCTGGGACCTAAGGGTAGAGTTGGGCAGCCAGGTTGGATATAAAAACCAAACACGTGGGCCTTGCTCGCCCTCTGGCTCGCAATCGCTCGCCTCCTGGCTTCACCGCTCCTGGCTGGCGGCCAACTCTGAGAGAGCCATTTTTGGGATTCCTGATCGGCTGATCGGGTAGGACTCATTTAAAACTTTGTCTCCCACTTTTCTCCCTGAGCTGTACATTTCCTCGTTTCCCCTTCCCTTGTAAATAAACCTTTTATTAACCTTTCACGTGTGCCTGCAGTAGAGCATTGATAAGTCCTTTTAAGCGCTCGGGTGAGGACCCACAGTCAGGCACCCCGTTTTGTATCGGGGTTGCTCTACAACAGAACTGCACCAAGGTCACGCAAGCTTGAGCTCTTTGCTCCTGAGAGCAACCAGGACAACAGATATGAAAGAGAAATAGCCACAGAGATTTCTGTAGAAATTAAAAATTTTAACTCGAACATTGACCTTGCAATGGAAATGAGAACACATCAGGAAACCCTGTGGGAAATACTAGAAAATAAAAATAAGCCAGGACATTTACAGAAAAAGAGGAAATTCCTTGTTTAATGAATGGTCAGATTTAACATAACTTATAATATTCAATTTTCCATCATAATATTCGTGTCAACACTTTAGTGAACTTAGGCCTGGAAGCCTTGTGTTAAGTAAAAATGGCAGCTGTTATTTTGTGTGAGTTTAATCAGGGAGACATAGGGGACAATTAGTCTGATCATCATTCTGCTGTTTAGCAGAGCCTCCGTCTCAGAAGCACATTGAGATGTCTTGTGTTTGTCAGGTTTTTTAGTTTTGAATGCTGTTCAGGGCTGTTAATAATGTGAGGACCTTGACCCTTACACTGTGTGTATGTCTGATATGGGACACCCGTAATGGAGACAGTAATGACGTATTTGCAAGCCTTACCTAAGGCCTCATTAATATCGGTACCTCAAGCCATTTACAAGATTGGATTCTGAGACTATAATATAGGAATACAGACTTCCTGGTCTCTTCCTTACTGTTCCCAAATATAAGCAGATGATCTTATGGTTATTTGAGAGTCAAGTTAATTTCTTGCAGAGACATTCTAATGAGTTCTCTTAGAAGGCCTAAGAAGTTTAAGACTAAAGACAAGCCACAGCCTGAAGCCCAAGCTGCTGATGAGCACAGATGGGAGGATGTTAACAGCCAAGAAATATGAGGTCTCTGGCGCCTTTCCCAGAACTGCCAGGCTAAGACCTTGGCAGAAACTCAACAGGAAACTGAACTCTATTTGCATATCCTTTTATACATGGGAGATTAAAAGCTTCAACCTTGAGTGATCACAGTTTTTTAGAATCAAGATGAGGCATTAAAGAGGAGGAGGAGCATCCCAAGGGAGGTGAGCTGGAGGCGATGCAAGGTAGGTATGAGGTTGGCAATGACTTTCAATCCCCTTTGATTAATCATGAGTGTGTTTTGTTTAGTTCTTTTTTGATTTTCTCCTTTTTGGGTCACATAAAGGAAGCAGCTAGGCAGAAATCTGTGCTTCCTAATCCTGGAATCTGTCAAATCAGATCTCCTTTGTCCTACCACAGCTTCTCTTTCCTTTCTTGCTGGGCAGACTTACAGCTTGTTAGTGCTGAAGGCACCTCTGAGAGATCATCTACTATATGGTACCTAAAGAGGGTTACAGATTTATCTAAAATCACACACAAAAAAGTTAAGCATTCTGACTTCCAAACAATTTTTTTTCCCCCGACAGGATGCTTTTTTCTTTCTTTCTTTCTTTCTTTTTTTTTTTTTTTGTAGGTACAAGTTTCCTCAGATCTCAGTTAGCTTCCTTCCAACATGCGATTTGGCTCAGATACTCTTCACATCTTCCCCCATCAGAACATGCATTTCTGGCGAGAGCCACACTGATTCCCTGGCTTTTCTCCCTAGTTCCCTTGGATAAGGTCCTTATAGTTATTTGATAGATGTTAAAGGACTGAAATGAGGATATTTATCTTTGGGATTCATTTAGGTAAACTCGTAAGATAGCAAAAACTAATCCTATATAGACAGTGTGGGCAGTAGGAGAATGGAGAAATATCACCCCTCACAGGTTAGTATCTAAACCTTGTAGATTTCTTTGTAAGGATGGAAAATATTTCTTTCTTCTTAAAAGGTTGCATTAATTAAATGTATCCTAAGACTGCAGTGGTCTCTCAAAGATTAATATAAGGTGAGCTTTCTGAAAATTGAGACTCCCTTGTCCAGCCATTGTCTTCGACATCTGAAGCCAGTCTCATACAAAAAGGTTTGGCAAGAAAAAGAATTCTCCTTGTTACTCTGGTAAAACCAAGACAGGACTGGTCTGCCTTCATCCGGTATAGACAAGGGGCCATGTAGACACAGTATGTTATTGCTGAGCCAGACGCTCATAAGGGTGGACTTGTCCTTGACACTTTTACTGTTGGTGCAAGGAAAGAATTTAGAGAGTTTGTGTGGGGAGATATTTACGATGAAGATTTTTCTAAAAAATGTGCTGGCTTGGCCACACTTTGGATTTCTTGGTTTGGAAAAATGTTAGTGGTCATTATCAGTGTTTCCTCCCACTTTAGATCCTTTATTCTTTTCTCTTCTGGGTAAAAACTGTCTACACCAGACCATTAAACATTGGGAGGGGCAGAGCATTAGCGTTATGGAGCTCTCTTGGTGTGCCAGTCACCCAGCTGTGCCAGATGCTTTCAGACAATTATTTCATTTAGCCCTTGTAATAAATCTATAAAATAGGCATTATTATCTCTATTTTATGAATGAGGAAATAGAGGCTTAGAGAACTCTTGTTCAGAGCCCCATAAGAGTTAATGAGGAGTTGTGATGCTTAGCCATTTTTGTCTGATTCCAGAGCCCATGATCTTTTTACTACTAAAAGAATGCACATATAAAAACACACAAGCAGTTTATAGACTGACAATTTTTTTAGGCCAAAATTTAAAATGACTTCATTTAAAAATAGACAAAGGATGAAAGAATATTGCCAAAGTTAAGGGCTCTTTTCAGATTGTTTTTAAGTTCAACTCTATTAATGCTTTGTGACTGATTGAATATGTTTTTATATATCACTTTACTTATCTGCACTATATTGCCACCTTTTTAAGAGAGGAAAATACACCCACTTAAATTATGCCATGAAATTCTTTAACACAGTAAGGATGTTTTCATGGATCTGCAAATGTGAGAGAAAGAATAGGAGGTAGATATTTGGAACTCAGAGAAAGTTTGCTTTTTCTTTGCTTTTGCTTTTTCTCCTTCAATGTCTTAGAAATCAAAGGCTAAGAAAAGCAAGCATGATGGGAGGCTAGTCCTGCCTGAGAGGAAGGTAATTGTCAGACTTCTGGACCACCCAGTCATCTTTAAGAACAATTCCTCTAGCCAACAGAACTTCTGGAAGGCTCACTCAGGGCTGATTCCTTAAGGTCCCCATCACATTTTTCCTCAACCCTTTGGCCCAACTAGCACCAGAACCAGTAAGTTGGAAGATGAAAAGACTGGGAAAATTCAAGGACCAAAGTGAAGAAGTGGTGTTTCAGATGAAAATGAGAGAGTAGTTCCAGGGCATGATCAGGGTGGAGGTGTGGACCTGGGAGGGGGTGATATCCAGCTACACGAAGATCACTGAAGGTACATACAGATCCCCTTGTTCTGCCTCTCTGGGAGATCTCCAGCCACCTCAGTTTCTCCATGGCTCACAGAGGTGAAAGCCCAATACTACTCCACGAGTCATCTAGTTCAGTCTGTTGGTTTGTAAATACAACTGATTGTTGGTGTTATTATTGCTGATAACAAATCTTCCTTCCATGGAAGATTGTCATGCTTAACATTCTCCTGAAGACTAATTTTGGAAGCGCAGTCATGTGGCCTTTCTGGAGTTCAATGGTACCAGTTTATCCAGAAGAGTCAAAGTCAAAGCCAGAGGTGTTGCAGGTGATCATTAGGAAGTCCCAGCATTTCTCACAGTCCCTTTAAAGTCAGTGACTGGACCTCTGGAAAAGAGCACATTGATAGGAAGTGTAAGAGACAGCCATCATACTTGCTCCAACACGATGACTCCTGCATTATCCTGGAGAAACAGCTCATGGAGGACCAGTCAGGGCAGATGCCACAAGCTAGAGATGGAGGGTAGAAAAGTGCCCTCTCACCCCCACACCACGGAGGCTAGCCATCTTCTTGGATGCAACACATAAGGGCAGTGTCGTGGGGACCCAATGGGAAATAGTTCTGCCCTCCTTGCTTGGCTTCTTTTTATAGAGCAGAGGCTACTGTAGTCAGAAAGGCTGTTAAGTGGAAGGCACTGGACACATTCTTTTGTTTACAGTCTTAAATGATTAAAAACAACAACAACAACAACAACAAACCCAACTTTTAACAAGCTCCAGAAGCTCTCTTGATTGTGTGACAAGGTGTTTTTGGAGGCACACTATTTCCAGGCTCAGCCACCCACCAACAGCATGACCTTGGGTAATGCCTTAAAATCATTTTGTTTTGTATCTTTATCTGTGGAATAAGAACAACGGGTTATTGTGAGGAGTAAACAAATTAAAACACGTGAACTACTTCTAATAATGACTTGCACACAGAAAAACACCCCATGACTATAGTCCATGAATTATTATGATTGTTATTAGTACCTCTTTGTATGCTGATGATTTCCATTTCAAGGAGAGTTTTATTTTTAACTTCGTTTTGCTGAAACTTCAGGATGTTTTCTCAGCTCACAGGAAACAGGGACGACTGATCATAGAATCATAGAGGCTGAGAACTGGAAGGAACTCAGGCTAGAGCAGTTCCAGCCTCTTCACCTTGGAAATATGTCTGGGGAGGTGACGAGATGGACTTGAGTTCTCAGGGGAAGGACCCAGGTTTTGAACCCAGGTCCCAGTCTAGCAGCTTTCTTTTTCAGTGTGGAGTAAACATCACACTCTACAATTCAACATTTTCTAATTCTCCAGGACTTATTTCTGCAGCTACCTTGGGAATGTAGCAGGCCTGGGACCCGGTGGATGGGGCGGACCAGCGCTGAGTGTGACAACTGTCATACATGTCATTGTCTAGACTCCCTGGCTTTCTTGTCCTTAATGTAATTTTCATATTGTTGTCTTGCCCTGAATTTGAAAAAGAAAGAAGGGGAGATTTTGTCTGTGAATGAAAGAGGTTTCTGGTCATCCATCCAACCATTGCTCAGTGGAGAGGATTAGAGGCACTGCTGGGGGATGGAAGGCAGGGAGTGAGTAGCAGAGTCCCTCAATGGATGAGGTTCATTTAGGCTGAGATGAGAGAGGGAGGCCAGTCTTTCTTCTTTCACCTGGCAACACATACTGAACACCACGGGCTCAGTGATGCCAGGTACCCATCAGAATGCAGAAGGACCCAGGGCAGGGTTTGAGAGTTCAAGGAGTTCCTTTGGAAAGAGGTAGAAAGCAAAGACTGAACTGTAGCCGAGCCTCTGAAGTTCTTTGAGGGCTCTGTACTCCATCAGCACAGAGGAGACTTCTTACTCTTTGAGCCTCAAAGGTACTTACAAGGGACTCAGCTTGGCTGGAAGGAGGAAGATCTCCCAGTTGGGATGCAAGGGAAGAATAGCTTTGTAGGGATGAAGACTGGAAATGCATGAGGAATGGGGTGTTTTCCTGCGACAACCAGGAGTCAGGCCCTGCGGAGGGAGATCTTGACTGGGAGTTGGGAGACATGTGCTCTTTTGCTTGATTAGGTGAAGGTGGGGAAGTCATTTCATTTCTTCACTTTCTACATCTTCAATTGAAGATGTTGATTAAAGTTCTTCCTTGTAGCATTTTCTTTTTGTGTGTGGGTAGGGAAGAGAGAAGAAGCTGGTCTGTAGGACTGAAGTAGCCTTTCTGTGGAAAGGCTATAGACAGGACAGTGGTGATTTGACGGAGACATGGACTGTGAATCCACAGGTTGTAAGTGGATTCTCACCACAGAGGAAGGTTCTCACCGTGGAGCCACCTCTCTGATCCATCACACATTTGTATTGGCCCCTTTGTGTCCTTATTTATAAACTTGGTGCATGTAGCACTTCTTCAGTTGACAGAGACAGTTAACCCACCATCAGTCACTCCTTCTGCAAATTCATGAGGCTTCATGAATCAGGAGATCTTGAACATGATAGAGCTTTTACTAACACACCCTCAGGCTCTGTCCCTTTGGTATTGTCCTTGTGCAGTTCATGCCATGAACCACTGGGCTAGTGGGGCCTCCCTTGGCTAGAGAGGCTTCATAAAATGAACATAATATGCTGACTTTCCTTCTCATGGCCTCTGAGTTGTGCTGTTTATGTATGTCAGATGGTGAGGGAGGATGGAAGCCAACTCTGGGGCCTGCCCTGGCTTGGAGTCACAGCACACTCGCAAGTCCCGA